GACAGTTGATTTCGCAGAATGGACGGATGGATCTTGATGGCGAGGAGAGAGTGAGTGAATGAGGGGTGGGGTGGAGGGAGGGACTACCTGCTTCACCATTCGAATAGAACGCACGGTCAGCGAGGACTGTATTTGGACTAATTTTCAGTCTAGATTACAGCGATAATGACCGTGCGTTCTATTCGGGTGGTGAAGACGGTAGGTTGGAACTGGGGCGTGGTCCCACTAGCAAAGAGGATCTGATCGAATGCCTGAATCTGGACGAGTTTATGGAGGTGTGCAGGAAATCGAGATTGAACTGCTTTTCTGCATCTGTGCACTAAATACGTCCAGATTCAGGCATTCGATCCGATCCTCTTTGCTAGTGGGACCTCAGCCCTGGTAGCTCTTCACCCGAATAGAACGCACGGTGGGTTCTATTGGGGTGAAGACCTAAGAGTGGCAGTTCGTCAACTGACTTAATGTTGTTCAGCATTGCCCATCACAGTTTTTTTTTTTTTTTTTTTTTTTCATCACTGTACTTTCATTTGTTCGTTTGTAAACAAAATTACGATCATGGCGATTGAAAAAAATTACCACGACAGTAATTAAAATTTAAAAACATGACTCAAAAAAACAAACAAAAAAAAAAAAAACGAATAAAAAATGACAAGTGATGGTATGTTAGAAACCACGGATGATGGGTTAATGCTCAACATTGTCCATCAGGTTTTTTTTTTTTTTTTTTTTTTTACGGTAATTATTTTCAATATCTACTTTTTTTTCGGTAATTATTTTCAATATCTACTTTTTTTTCGGTAATTATTTTCAATATCTACTTTTTTTTCGGTAATTATTTTCAATATCTACTTCTTTTTTCCTTTTTTTCTTTTTGTGTGTGTGTGTGGAGTGCGCGGGGGGGGGACCGTGATTTTTTTTTAACTACCGTCAGGATCACTTTTCTCTAAATTCCAAAAAAGAGAACAAAATCTTCAAACAAGGTTCTTGCTCCTCGCTCATCACGGGAGATTGCTTGCTCATCACGGTTTTTTATTATGATTATTATTACTATATTTTCTCTCATCACGGTAATTGTTTTTTATTTTTTTTAAATCTAATTTTATTCTCGTTAAACAAGGTTGCTGGTTAGCAGTGACCAATAAATCACGGCAATGTTCTTTTTTTTCCTTTTCTTTTTTGGAGAGGTTGGTGGGGGGGGAAGCGCGCGGGGCGGCGGGGAGCGCAGGCGCGGGTTGGGCGCAGCCCTGGGATGTTGAAAAAAAAACCGTCAGGTCACCACCGTTCTCCGTAATTACTGTTGACGTCAGTGTGTTCAAGTTCAACGTACTTCATCACTACGTCCTGCAAGGTCGGAAGGCAGGCCGCAGAACTATGACTGTGTAAGTTGTGCCATGAACGTGGTCAACATGGTGAGCAGATTCATTTCATCTGAAGCCTTTTTTTTTTTTTTCATTTCAAAGAAAGGTGCGAAGCTTGTTTTTCTTGTTTTTTTTTTTGTTTTTTCCCCCCAAGGTGGCGGCCTTGAGGTATTGTTTTTAGTATTTTGTTTTTTTTTTGGTCGGGGGAACTGACTGGCCCCAAAGACAATTCAAAAAATATTTGGGTTGGATTCCATCTAGGACCATCTGGAGCGCGGTCCCACTAGTAGCAAAAAGGATAGCGGATTAACCTCCTGAATCTGGGCGTGTTTTAAGTGGAGATACAGAAAAGCAGCTCAGTCTCGATTTTCTGCACCCCCTTTCCCCAAACACGCCCAGATTCAGTCGTTCAATTCAATCCTTTTTCTTTTCTTTTTTTTTCTTTTTTTTCTTTTTCAATTCAATCCTTTTTGCTAGAGGGACCTCGCCCCTGTGGATTCGAACTCAGGTGACCGTTAAAAAAATAAAAATAAAAAAATAAACTCAGGTGACCGTCGGGATTTCAACAGCCCATGGGTGTGTACCAACTGAGCTATATAGGCCAGTTGATAAAGATCCGAAGCTTACCTGGAGTTTGCTCAGGACAAGTAATCCTCTCTCTCTCTCTCGCTCTCTCTCTCTCTCTGGTGCTCCGCACTGCTGGGCCGCCTCGTAGGGGGAGGAAGGAGTGGGGGAGGAAGTCCTCTTCAGGCAAATTAACCATCCACCTCTTCCGTTCAACAACCACCCACCCACCCACCCTCCTGCTTACTACAGCTAGGTGAGAAAAAGAAACACAATGAAGAAGAAACAGGAGGGAGGAGGGAGGAGGGAGGAGGGAGGAGGGAGGAGGAGGGGAAGAAAGGAAACAGAAGGAAGGAAGGAAGGAAGGAAGGAAGAAAGCAAGAAAGAGAGAAGGAAAGAAGAAGGGGGAAAAGACTTAGAGAGAGAGAAAGGGGGAGAAGGACTAGGAGTAGCGGTGCAGCTCAAACATTTCAAAGAGTTTTAGGTGGTGGTTGTTGACGTCAACGTGAATGGATAGCAAAGCAGAGTCCAGAGCGATAAGAAGAAGGGCATTTATGGAATTTGCCTTACGCGGCAGAGGGGCTGGGAAAGATTGCCCTTGCCATGGCGGGCGAAGGGTAGCAGTCACTCCATGGACCAACACCCCGAAGGGTAGGTAAAGAAAAAAGGGTGGGTAAAGAAATACCCTTAGCTAAAGGTAACGGTATATGAAAACTCTGATCACCCTGAGGGTCTGTCGTAGGGGCCTCTCAGGAACAGTCCTCGGAGTCAGGAAAGAGGTCCTCCAGGAAGTCAGAGCACAGGTACTGAAAGAGAGGAGGCGAATGCCAGCAGGACGAGCACATGTACCATGAGAATATGAAGAACTGAGCGAGGACCATGCTCTCTAACACCTGAGAAGCAGCCATGAAAGGCATGGCTGCTCACTAAGGGAAGGGACACCCGTACACACACACACACAGAAGAGAGAGAATGCACACAATGAGGTGACAGCAGAGTACAAAAGGAAGAGGAGAAGATTGCACTGCGTGCGTGCGTGCGTGTGTGTGTGTCTGTGTGTGTGTGTGTGTGTGTGTGTGTGTGTGTGTGTGTGTGTGTGNGTGTGTGTGTGTGTGTGTGTGTGTGTGTGTGTGTGTGTGTGTGTGTGTGTGTGTGTGTGTGTGTGTGAGAGAGAGAGAGAGAGAGAGAGAGAGTCAGTCAATGGGGTGAGAGCAGATGGTACGAGAGAAGGAGCAGAAGATTACTGAATGAGAGAGGGAAATGGTAAGGTAGGTGGGAATTAGAGGCTCCAAGTGATTGAATCAACAGACAAAGAGCAGAGGAAAGGAGTGAAAGGGAAGTAGAGAGAAGACAGGGAAGAGAATTTCTAGGTAGAAGATAGAAAAGCGAGAGAAGACGGCAGACCAGAGGACAGAGCACTGAGGACATAACAACGGCGATACCAAACACGTTGACATTGCGAATCTCAACAAGCTGGCAAAGAGAGAGTGAACTGGGGATAGGTAGGCAGCAAAAGCCTTAGAGTGAACAGGAGAGGAGAGGAGAGGAGAGGAGAGGAGAGGAGAGGAGAGGAGAGGAGAGGAGAGGAGAGGAGAGAGAGCCCTCGGTGTGTGGCCTTAGCGTGCATTAACTCCCCCTTGATGACAAGATTCGTCAGGGGCATTCAGAGAAATTGTCCAGCATTTGTCAAGGACATGAGGAGGAGGAGGAGGAGGAGGAGAAGGGGGGCAGACTCAACTCTTGTGGGTGGGGTTTTAGCTTGACGTTCTCGCTTTTGGAGCGCAACAAACTGTTCGGCAGTCTCCATGCAGCTACCAGTAGCCAAGCCACCTGAGCTCAAGGACCGTCCTTGGCTCTTGGCTCATCATGGTCTCAGCTGTTGCCAGTGGTGCTCCAGGCTCCTCAGAAAGGAGGAACCTGGCTCTGGAGATGGACAGGTTCACGCTCAGCACAGGCATAGCACCGCTTAGGCCTGCCCCTTGATGGTCTTCTTCTTTTGGGGACTTTAATGAGGGAAATCATTCATTTCATTTTATTTATTTATTTATTTATTTCATTTCGTTTTTATCCTTGGCGACTGTGGGACTGGAAGCCTCCAAAAAAAAATATTTTTATTTTATATTTTATTTTTTTGGTCTCCAAATTTGGGCTCAACTACAGAGAATTATCCTTCTCCCAAAAAAAAAAAAAAAAAAAAAGAACAGACAGGTCAATAGCCCTTGCCTTTTTTCGAGGAACTACCCTCTTCCCCCGAGCACAACGCACCCTCATTTTGGCTGTACCTGACCAGAAATGTAGGTTGTGTATACATTCATTATCAGGGTCCGTTATGTTGGGGGGAAGAGGGTAGTTTCTCAAAGGAAAAGAGGCCTAACCCCACTGAACTCTCCATCTGTTTACCAATTAACTTTTTTTTCTGTTTCTTTAAGGCTAATTCTTTTATTAAACCACCAGTACAGCGCCCCTTAAGCCCCTGTTATTTAGGTACGGGACCGAAATAGCTGGCGGTGCCCGCCCAAATAAGGCCCACCGTGACGGAGGTTGTTGTAGAGTAGAGGCTGGATTACAGACACATGGGGGTTGGATTACAGACACATGGGGGTTGTTATTTGTTATTTTTGGGCCGCAGGGGGATTTTAGGCTCCCTGTAGCAGCTCTCACGAGGGAACATGCTGTGCTGCGCCCAACCAGCAGGTGCACGACACAGGCCAGGGGTCAGATCCTACCCTTCTTCCCCCGAACACAACGCACGCTCATTTTGACTGCATCGACCCCGAAACATCCCTTGTATACGTTTCATTTTCAGGGTGCGTTATGTTCGGGGGAAGACGCCATCAGGACCGAGCTTCTTCGATGGACCAGTCGCTGTGCCTTCCCTCCCGTCCCTTCCTTCTGCGATGAACATCACCAGTCTCTGCTCGTTGCCGCTACTAAGGGGGCCTGCCGTGCCTTCCTTCTGCTACGAACATCACCAGTCTCTGCTCGTTGCCCCTTCTAAGGGGGGGACCACCAGCCTATCTCTAGGTGGTGGGTGCCAAGCATGCCCAGGAAGGTACATGAGGCCACCAATGGGGATAGAACCCAAGCGCTCCTGCATGCCACTTGTGTGCCTTACCACCTCCGCAAACGTCAATGTGTTTTTTTGGGACCCTCAGGCAGTTGACCTGTGGTTCAAGTGGTAGCAGCCAACCAGGGGTGGTAAGCCCGCACTTGCCCAGAGTCTCCATTTCTGATGGGGTAGTGAGGCCCCATTTGCCTGGATTATTATCCATTTATGACCGTCGATTGTGAAGATCAATGGTCTGAAGTGAGTAATCTGGCGAAGTGGGACCTTACTACCCCTCAGGGGGATAGCAAGGCCACACGGGGTTGTTCGCAGCCCGTCAGGGATGCGTTTTATGCCCCTGAGAACATTTTTCGTCGTCTTTCGTTAGACGGTACTTGGAAGGCTGGAAAAACAAGGCATGGCAGTTTAGGGGGTGGTGGCATCTTATTTGAAACTGCAGGACCGGTAGCCGCCCATGGGACCGCACGGGTTTTGGTCCAGGACTGCGTAGGACCGGTAGCTGCGCGTAGGAGGCCGAGGAGGCCGCAATCCTTTTTCAAAATTGAAACGGTGCGGGTCCACTTTTCTCGAATAGCAGAGTTCCTCGAATAGAAAAGTACACGTTGTATTCGAATACAACGTGTACCCTTTCTATTCGGATTTCGAAAAGAAAATTCCGATAAAATTACTTCTTCTTTTTGTTGGAGGTCAGTGCCTGCCCTT